GCCCGGCTAATTTTTGGTTGCAGCCGTCATTGTTGTTTGGCGGGCCCGGGCTGGATTCAAACCCACCACCTTGAGTGTATATGGCTGGCAACTTAGCCGCTTGAGCCACAGGCACCGAGCCAGTTTTTCCTCATTTCACCTGGCATTTATTCTCGAAAAAAACTCAGATAAGTAATACTCAGGCTTATAATGAATCTTTCCCTTTGAAAGTATAAAATTCTCATTAATTAGACCACAAATATTTCTTTAGCACCCTGTAAAATGCTTAGCAGCTTAGTGCTGGGGTAGACAGAGAAGACAAAAAGAAGGTGTCAGTCCTCAGTAGGCTTTCAGTTCAGTTTGGCAAAGAAAACCATTATGTTAGGTGGTACCCATTAGAAGCACAGCAGTCCCAAGAAATGAAAGATCCTTCTGCACTGGAATAAAGAGAAAAGACTTCATGCCCAGACCTTGAACAGTATACAGAATGCTTGGATGGACTAGTATCAGGCCAAAATAAAAGAAGATAATTAACATGAGAAGAGGCTGGGAGACTAAAATGAATAAACAAACATCTATTAAGTTCCTGCTACCTGCCAGACACTTGGCTAGGTCTTTTTATATGAATGGATGAGCATACACAGCCAAGGGTTAAGAGCCCTGGATGAATGACCTAGACCAGAGCAGTGTTTTCCAACCTTTTTTAATCTCACAGTACACCTGAAGCTATAGTTAAACCTCTGTGGCACACTTACATTATGTTGACCTAAAAAAGAGTAAAATACATACTTACTGTGCTTTGAACTTTTGAAAATAATTTAATTAATAATCTTCAAAAATTTTCACAGCACACCTAAGATCTTCTCATGGCACTCCAGCTATAAATCACTGACCTAGAGGTTTCACGCTAGAAAACAGTGATGTAAGGCTGCCAGGTAGGGATGAATACCCAATTTCAAAGGGTGGGAGAGGCAGCAAGGCAGCAGGGTCTATGAGCAGCCAGACAGAGAAGGGCTATGCTGGAGCATTGATAAACTACAGGGAACAGATTTGACCCAAACCACTTACAAACTTAACAGCAATAAAATCACAAACAGAATTTTTAAATTTAATTTTTAAAATGAAAAAGTCCTACGAAAACTCTAACTCAGCTAGCTGCCTTTGCATTAGGTATATCACTGAGTTCCTAATTAAAGTTCACAAAAAGCTTTCTTTTTGAATAATGTCTTTACAAAATAATTTTTTTGGCAATAACTGTTAATTTTTATTGCATTTCTTTCCAGTCATTTCTTCGTTTTCAATAAAGTTCAATGTTTATATACGATTTCAAAACAAAAGAACCTCTTAGCAAATTTAGACAAAAACTTTCTTAACTTCATAAATACCTCTAAAACCCAACAAAGCAAGTATCATATACAACAGTGAGTTGTTTTTTAAAAAATCCTCTTTAAAAGCAGGAACAAGACAAGGATTCCTGCTATCACAACTTCTATGGAGTTCTGTCCTGGAGTCCCTAGGCAGCACAATAAAAGAAAGAAATGAGAAGTGTAAACAAACAAAAGGAAAAAACAACTTACTGTTTGCAGGTGATTTTATCTCGGTAAACTCTATACAAATTAATCAAAATACCATAATAGAGTTTAGTAGGATGAATATATGTGAAGTAGTTGCATTTTTATGTACTGGGAACAAAAAGTTCAAAAAAGGAATTTTTTAAAAGATGCATTTACAGTAACAAAAAAAAAAAAAAATAAAATGCACCTTAAAACAAATTTAACAAAAAAAAATTGCAAGCTCTTTTATGGACAAAGTTCTTATTAAGCATTTTTAAAAATTTATAACTGACATACAATTGTACAAACATGTATTTATAGTAATGTTTCATTACATAAAATGTACAATGAGCAGTCTGGGCTCAGTGGTTCATGCCTGTAATCCTAGCACTCTGGGAGGCCAAAGCAGGAGGACAGCTGAAGTTCAGGAGTTTCAGACGAGACTGAGAAGGGCGAGACCTCATCTCTACTAAAAATAGACAAATTAGCCAGGCTCCATGCCACAAGCCTGTAGTCCCAACTGCTCAGAAG